GAGTATAACATTATAACATGATATAAAACTCAAAAACGTTGATTTTACATGATATTGCCACTTTAAAACAAATCTGATCTATTATTAGCACTTAAAGTAGTTACCACACCAAATTTTAGCACAATATCTGTAAAGTTGACTATGTTATTGCCATGTTTGTGTATGGTCAATTAGCTAAATAAGTTTAACACCAAAAGTTAACCAGTTGAAAATGTACAGCTGGGATTATTCCCTGAAATCCACCCACTAGTTTAATAGTTTATAGATTTTTAGAATAATCAGTTCAATCCTTATTTTCATTTTTTCCCTAACTGGAGCTGCTTTAAGAATTAAAACATTGCACAAACTTTACAATTTGGCATTTTTACTTCATGACTGAATCCATTTAAGCAAAAACAAATTTTAGATTTCTCTATTTTCTGCTGRCAAACTGTAAGCTGTGCTGTCTTTCTTGCACCTTAAAGGGTTTAACACTTTTACTAACTTTACTAATTAACATAATCAACAAAGCTGTCRTGCAAAACAAATTTCATGACCAATTGGTTTACAAAAGCCAAAAAAGTAGTTTTAATGAACATGTCAGCGTAAATTTTGCCAATCTTTTAAAGCAAAACATTGTCAAACACTAACAGATGATGGAGTTCTTGATGGTTTATAGTTCTAATAAATACCTTTTTTTATTTTAATTAAACAACTAAGCCAAATATATTAGTTTTAAGTTCTTCACTTTATATTGCTTTATTATACACATGAGTCATCTTTTCACTGCTACCAACTAATCCTACAATCAGGCAGTCATCTGCCACATGATTAGAATATTACATAGATTAAAAATACATGCAGGGATTATCTTTAGTATCAAAAATCTGAACTCCCTGCGTCCCACAATTATCTACTTAGATCAGCAGTGAAGCAGTTTAGGAGTGAACAAAAAGATCTCTGACACGTTGTCTGGGGTGGAGGAGGTGTGCTYAAATTTAAATGTTAAAAATAGCTGCAACTGACAAGAGACGCACCAAAAAAGCTTCCACAGAACTCGAAGTCCACCAGCGTGTTGAAAAGGAGCTATTAGTGAGCAGAGAGGAGTAAAACTGTGGAAGTTGAGCCTGGATTGTATCCGAGCCACTGTGTTAAACACTGAATCTGTTGGTGAGCTTTTAGAGAATTAAATTGTCAAATAAAATAAAACAAAATTAAAATCCATCCATACTTAGAAGAATAAACATTATTATGACCCCCGCTTATTGTTTTCACACTGTTTATTTCTAAAAAAAATTTCAACCTTCTCACGGAAATGGCTGTACCGATGAGATTTGGCAGAAATGTAGATGTGTCCGACCTACACTGCGCCAGCCAACGATTTTACAAYAGACCCCATATTTGAGGAGGGGGCTCCATCTAAATAGTGGGTGTCTGGACACACAAAAATGCTTATAACTCAAAAACTTTTCAACTTACAGGAGCTTCAGATTTATTTATTTATTT